CTCCCCTTTGTCTAAATTTAAATAAGATATTTGAGCTTGGAGAAAAGGTAATAATAAAATCACTGCTTAATAAAAGGGAGTGTGTGTGTTTGTGCACTCGTGTGTGCCTAAAGCAAACTTGTGTCATTTTGTGGGGAGAGAGAGAGATCGATTGGCTGAAGGGATCCTTGTGGTACAGGGCTTCTCTCCCTGGATTTGATGTGGAGTAGAAGATCTTCAGCCTTGTATGAATAATTAGCAGTCAAAGGGTAGTTAGGAATGTCTGAGTAAGATAGCCATAGATAAGATAAAATAAGATAGGCTTAGAGGAAGATGGTACCACTTAGACACTACTTCCGTATTTGTAAATAAAGCAACTGCTACAGAGACACCTTAATTCTTCAGTTGTCGCTCTTTCAAAAGAAGCCAAATCCAGGTATCAGTGACTCTAGGACTCATCATTACTCAGAAAGTGTGGTGTATGCAAGAACATCATTGAAAACATGGATTTTATTTTTGTATGCATACATTGAGATGAGGTGTCAGAAGCAAGGTGCTGGGGTGTTTCCACTTCTCCTTGGAGGCTGGCTCTTCAGGGTGGTACTTGGAGAATATCATTCAACCCTGTGGATTTTCCAGCATGGAGTTCTTCAGGGGTCTGCTCTGTCCCCTCTGTTATTTAATATCTACGTGTAACTGCTGACTGGAGTCACCTGGAGTTTTGGAGTATGTTGCCACCAGTATGCTGATGACACACTGCTCTATTTCTCCTTTTCATCATCACGACATGCGGCTGTAGATGTGCTGAACCACTGTCTGGCTGTGACAGTGGATTGGATGAGGGCCAACAAAGATTGCTAGTCAAGGAGGGTGTTCAACTGTTCTAGATGGGGTTGTACTTCCCCTGAAGGAGCAGGTTTTTAGCTTGGTGTGGGGGTTCTGCTTGATCTACATTTGTCATTTGAGGCTCAGGTAGCCTCAATGGCTCAGAATGCCATTGAGAGCCAGTGTGGTGTAGTGGTTAAGAGCGTGGAACTGGGACTCAGACGATCTGGGTTCTAGTCCCCTCTTGGCCATGGAGCCCACTGGGTGACTTTGGGCCAGGCACAGACTCTCAGCAAAACCTACCTCACAGGGTTGTTGTTGTGGGGATAAGATGGAGGAGGAGAATGATGTAAGCTGCCTTGAGCCCTTTGTAGGAAAAAGGTGGGATATAAATCAATCAATCAATCAATCAATAAAATGCCTTCCACCAGCTACACTCCTATTTGGATGTGGATAACCTGGTTTAGTTATCTACATTCTGGTAGTCTCTAAATTAGATTATTGCAATTCATTCTGGGTGGGGCTGCCTTTGAAAACTGATCAGAAGCCACAGCCCATGCACAATGCAGCAACCAGATTAATATCTGAGAACTGTAGGTCTGAACAGAGGGGACCTATTACGCCTGCTTACCATGGCTGCCTGCATGTTTCCAGACCTAATTCAAGGTACTATACCTTACACAGCTTGGAATCACAATACTTGATAGAGCTTCTCTCCCAGTCACAATCTACCCAGAAATTGTATTCAACCTTTCTTTGAGTGCTAACTCCAAGGGAGACTCAGAGGGCAGCAACAAGAGGGAGGGTTTTTTTCTGTGGTAGCCCTGCATCTTTTTGGTGCCAAAGCTGAAGCAACGCTTTAGGCTGAGACATTTGGTTATTCAAGGGCTTCAGAAGATTTCCCACCTCAGAATTCTTGTGCAGGGTGATTTTTCACTGTATATTTTTAGCTGTTTAACATTTTTAATATTTCTTTTGATATGCTTTTATGGACTTTTCCTTGTATTCTAATATATTGTTTTTATGTACTACTGTAAACTACCTAGAGTGCTTCACCTACTGGGCAGTACAGAAGGGAAAGGAACTGTATTGCTTCTATTACTTTGGAAAGCTATATGTTCTAAGTGTAAGAAGTGGAAAACCTTTCCTTTCAATGAAGTCTTCAGGGTTTTGCTCCGTATTGTGAAGTTATTGCTTGCAATTGGAATACTGTGAATACAGCCAGTCTGTAAGTTGGAGATACTGCCAAGAACATACTCTGCTGCTTTTGGAACCAATATTTTTGTTCCCTAAGATGAACTGTTGCCAGAGCATAGCATCTGCAGAAGTTGAGTTTAGAATATATACCCATTGAACTGTTAATCTTTTTTTAATCTTCCAGATATTTGATAATGAAGCCAAAGATCTTGACAGAGAAGTCTGCTTTATTGATATTGCCTGTGATGAAATTCCTGAACGTTACTACAAAGAATCAGAGGTAGGTAAAAGACCCCTTGGAGTAATTTGCACTGGCATTTTGTGAGCAGTTCCTGAAGACATCACACCCTTGGGGTTATCTTTTTATTTCATTCTATCAAATGGCAAGGATAACTCTTTCCCACACATCAAGAGTGCACATGAGTGGTAGAATGAACTGCATAGCGGAATTCTTACACTTACTTCACTCTTTCTTACTACCTGTGTTTCTGTGAGGCTTTTGAGCTCTCAGATAATGTTATTCTTCATGTTCACTGTGCATCACACATGTGGGATCTGCATGCATGCATGGAGCTGTTTCAGGAAGATTCCAAAGCTGATTGATTAGTTTTCGGCAGGAGGCCAGCCCATAGACACACCTGGTGTGAAGGTGGGACTCCCATTGAGACCTCATTTCTTCAAATGACATTGTGAAGTTCCTCCTCTACTTTTTTCATGAAGTTGTTTGTCTCTACACTCCTTCTCAGATTCCGGTATTATCATGTCCTTCTCAATTTTATTTAATTATTTATTTAGAAAATTTCTATGCCGCCCCATTCGCCGAAGCCTTGGGGCAGCTCACAAATAAATCAGTTAAAATACTATACATTAACAATATAAAACAAGTTAACAATATAAAATAAAATAAGTCGCCCTGGCCAAAGAATAAAATACATAAATACTACTAACAGTTAAAATGACGTTTGAATAAAAAGGTCTTCACCTGGCGCCGAAAAACAAATAACGACTGCACCAGGCGGACCTCTCTGGGGAGCACATTCCATAGATTGGGCGCCACTGCAGAGAAAGCCCTCCTCCGAGTACCCACCCTCCTAATTTCTTTCATGGAGGGTTCCCAGAGAAGGGCCTCTCCCGCTGATCTCAGGGGGCGGTTGGGCATATATGGACGTAAGCGCTCCTTCAGGTAACCAGGACCCAAGCCATTTAGGGCTTTATAGGTCATCACCAACACCTTGAATTGGGCCCGGACTTCAATGGGAAGCCAGTGAAGCTGACGGAGGACTGGAGTCATGGGAACGTAACGTCCAGTCCCCGTCAGCAGCTTGGCAGCTCTATTTTGAACCAATTGAAGTATCCGGACCGTCTTCAGGGGTAGCCCCACATAGAGTGCATTACAGAAGTCAAGGCGGGAAGTCACCAACGCATGCGTCACTGTCACCAGGCAGTCGTACTCCAGGTAGGGGCGCAGCTGATGGATCAGCCGAAGCTGAAAGAAAGCGCTCCTCGCCACCGCTGTCACCTGAGCTTCCAGTGAAAGCTCTGGGTCGAGGAGCACTCCCAAGCTGCGGACCTTGTCCCTAAGAGGGAGTGCAACCCCATTCAGGACTAGGTTCAATTCACCCTTACCGAAGCCCGATCCACCAACCAACAGGACCTCCGTCTTGTCTGGATTGAGCTTCAGTTTATAGTTTATTGGCCCTCATGCAGCCCATTACCTCGGCCAGGCACCGGTTCAGTACAGCCACTGCCTCACCTGGATTGGTGGAAAACGAGAGGTAGAGCTGGGTATCATCAGCATACTGATGATTCCGCAGCCCACACCTCCTGATGACCTCTCCCAGCGGTTTCATGTAGACGTTAAACAGCAAAGGGGACAAAATGGACCCCTGCGGTACTCCATGGCATAGCTGCCATGGTGCAGAGCCATAGTCCCCCAGCACCACCTTCTGGAATCGGTTATTGAGGTAGGAGTGGAACCACTGCAAAGTAGTGCCTCCGACCCCCAATCCCGCTAGCCTATCCAGAAGGATACCATGGTCGATGGTATCGAAAGCCGCCGAGAGGTCCAGAAGAACCAACAGGGATGCACTCCCCCTGTCCTTCTCCCTGCACAGGTCATCGTACAGGGCGACCAAGGCAGATTCAGTACCGTACCCGGGTCTGAAGCCGGACTGAAATGGGTCCAGATAATCCGTTTCATCCAAGAGAGCTTGGAGTTGTCCCGCCACCACCCGCTCCAACACCTTGCCCAGAAATTATCTTCTTGCTAGAAGCAAAAAAAGTATATTATCCTTGCCTCTTTCTTCTATTTACTTCGACTTCATCGGACAGACAAAATGGTGCTCAAAGCACCGTTCTGCAATTGCACCATGTGAGGCAGTAAACTTTCTCCTACAGATGGCCACTCCCTATGCCTTTTTTGCCTGGGAGAAACTCATGTCGCTGATGCCTGCTGCCATTGCTGGGCTTTCACCAAACCAGCAAGAAAACATCAAGCAGGTCACGTAAAAGCTGAATTGAGGAGCTACACCCTCCATATGGACAATGCCAACCATCTACCTCATGTGCTTCTATCTCCATTAATACAGATGAAAACTTAGGCCCTGCCACATTAAAAGTGCCAAGGATGGGGAAGCCAAAAAAAAAAAAAGTGAACAAAAAGAGCAGTAAATGAGCTCGGAAACACGTGGCCATTCTGCCTATTACTGGCCTCCTGTGCACTGAAAACATGGTGCCCACACAAGATCTGAGCCACCCTTCTGCTCTTGACACCGAACCCAATACCGGAACCTCAATCTCAGCTTCCAAAAAGTACTTTGGTCTTGGAAAGCAAAATTCGTAATCCATCCACAGCAGTATTACTATGACCAGACCCTGTCTCAGCACAGAGATCCATATCTCCTGTACCTTCGATTTGCAGTGTCTTCCTCCATACCGGGCAACCTAGATCCAGCTACCACTCTCAATCTCTGGCGTCTGAAAAAGATGCAGAACCCATCAAACACCCCCTCCACACCATGGGGACTTTGATACAGAGTACTATAGAGAGTGCTGGGCCCACTCAACTCTAGGCATGGAGGACCTCATTGGAACCCAACAGATCCAACCAATACTCTTCTCAGGCCGGTCCCAGTTTTGCTGTTCTGCCTTCCAGGCTTCCTACAGACCCTAGACAAATAGCTCCATCCCGTGACAGACCACCTTGCTCTAGTTTGCCTAGCCATTGCTCAGACTTAATTGAACACACTCACTCTGAACATGGACACTATACGTCCATCTCAGCTACATCCTCTCCAGACTGATGCTCCAACATACCCCTAATACTTCGATACCAACACCTGATTCTTCCCGCGCTTCAGAAGACTTCGGTCTTTTCTGCTCAAGTTCTCCTTGCCTCTCTTGCCACCAAGATCTGGCATTGGTGCACCACTCGACATACCACTCGGATCGCTATTCACATTGCAGGTGCCTGCATTGTCTTAGCAGACTCTCTAAGCAGAACCTTTACCCAATTTCACAAGTGGTAACTCCACCCCTTCATGAGTCAATCCCTGTGGGACTGATGGGGTGTCCCCCAAGTGGATCTATTTGCCATGCAACACAACACCATCTGCGACCACTTTGCTTGAGGGCAGGCATAGGCACCCAATTGTTGGGGGTGCTATTCTACTATAATACAGTGCTACCTAGAAGTAATGTAGTAGGGAAGCAGGAAAGGAAACACTATTCATGTATTGATCATATCTCAGTTCTGCAACTAAATTAAAAACATATTCAGCAAATTAACAGCTTTGTGTAGAAATGCTCTTTTCCGGTTCTGGGGTATGGGTGATAGGGAACAAGGCAGAAGCACCAGGACCCAGGCAACAAGGCCCAAGGATATGCAGAGTTCAAGCCCAATAGCCAAGTCCAATAACAAGTCCAGGTTGTGGTCACAGAGCCATGCAGTCACATCCTGGAGGAAGGCACAGGAGTGTAGACACAGCAGGCAAAAGTCAGTACCCGAGTAACAACAAGGCAAGGCGCAGATGCTTAAGAGCAGGATAGCCAGGCAGGGTTAGGAACAACAAGGCACGGTGGACAAGGCAAGGAAGCAGGGCGGGACAAGATGAAGCAGAACAAGGTGAGAAAGGGCAGGAGGAGAATCAGGCGAAGGTCATACAAGACGCAGGCACAGTGCTCCGGGGCCCTGCGTTGCTGAGGCAGCTTTTGGAGGGAAGAACCTGCTCTTGTATAGCTCTTCCCTCAGGGCTCCGAGGTGATGCTCATCGATGCCCTGGCAGCTCCAGCAAAGCCTGGGACTAATCCTGCAACAACCAGGGTATTTGCCCAGCAGATGGAGGCCTGGAGCAGCCAAGATACTGAAAATTCTATACATTGTTGCTCTTTTTTTAAAGCTTCCTAATTGCTACTGACTTTGTATTCCTACTTAATACTTCACTCTCTCATAGTAACCACTTGAACTTAGAGAACCATTGAACAGGCATCCTGACCCATAATCTTCACTGTCCAAATCAAGGTAGACTCTTGCTGATGGGAAGAAATGCCACAAGACTCTCTTGTTACTTTAGCTAACTTATTTTGAGCAAGAGTTCTCAAATGTTCCTTTTGTAGAAGTATAGTTCAAAATGAGATTTCCTGATCCCCCCATGGGTAGCAATATGAAATTAGACATTAATGTAGATACTGAAAACAAATAAGACAACAAACTGCTGTTTTGGACTAAGCCTATAGTGAACTAAATTCAAATTTAAATACTGCAAAAGGCCATACTGCTCAGAGGACAAGCTATCATATCTGTCTGTGAGCCAGGACTTACCTTTGCAGAAGGCTGATTATTCTTCAGAAGACTTGTCCTTGCAGTCAAATGTGAATGCATTTATCTTTCTTGGCAGTTGTTCACTTTCATTCATTCATTCATTTAAAACATTTTTTTACCCTGTCCTTTGCACAGGCCTCAGGGCAGCTTATGAAAGATTCAACATGTATGTTGAATTTGATACTAATGTGATCATTGTTTCTGGTCAGTTCAAGCATACTTCTGCCTTGCAGCAGGTTATGTCTTGCACTTAGTATTACGTTCAGTGTTTCCTCCTCTCTGGTTGGCTTCCTGATTAACTGTTCTTGGCATGGGATAGTCATTTAGGGTACTGGGAAATTTCCCCTATTTGTTCTGAATAGAATATGCATTAACTTGCCAATGTGAAGGTTCTTGAAGAAACCCAACTGATCAAGAAGTTCTAGTACTTCATCTCTTGTCACCACTATTTGTCTCAGTTC